GCCGCAGGAAAAGGCCCTGGGCGACCTCGCAGAAACCTCGGAAGCCGCTGGGTCCGCTCCCATCCCGCTCTCGCCGCCCTTCCTGAGCCTCGCGCCTGCCGTCCCCGGCCCCGTGAGTCACCCGGGGTCTGTCCTCAGGACCCCGGTGTGCAGGGCCCAGCCAGGGCCTTTCTACTCTTACTTATTTTCATCCGAACTCTAGGAACTACCAAAAAGAAAGAAAGAAAGGGGGTTGGGGAGGAGAGATGGATTGCCTAGGGCAGGGGAAGAGAGAGGGCTGGGAGGGCGCATACGCTAAAGAGCGGTCCCCCCCTCGGAATCTTTATTACTGAGGATCGACTTTCTATCCGTCCTTGCAACACAGTGGAAATGGAAGAACTTCCAAGAAATTTGTAGTTCCTAAAAAACATTTAAGAAAAAAAATTTTTTTCTTGTTTTAATCTAGAGAAGTAAATATAATTTGGGGATATTTTTCCATTAAAAACAATATATTTCCAAGGCAAGAGTAGTGAAAGGCAATAAAGCGTATTTGTTTTTAGTTTCAGACCCTGGGGTGCTGGTGCGGACTAGCTGGCTGTGTACACAGCTCCCGGTCGCCTAATGAAATCGTGTAAATAATGAAATGCACACATTGCATAACAAACAGGAACTTTCCTGATCCAAGGAGGTGGCATTGCTACCTCCCAACCCCGTGCTAATGACTTCAGCCCCCTGTTCCCATGCCTTTTAAACGCTTTAGCCAGCAACCCCTGAGCAGGTAACACCACTTTTTTAGACGGTATCTGTGTATAATAAACCCCGATGTGGGCCTTCAGTAAAGCTTGTTTTTATATGCGCTGTGCACTCATTAAAATGTCTGTTAGCAGTTTGAGTCGTGGGTTCCTAAATCATACCGTCCTTATGAACGCTTCATTCCTCGTATAACGACAGAGATGCTCAGTGTGGGCATTTGGGGTTCTGTTGTCCACTGCCTGCTCAGCCCTCCCCTTTTTTAAAAAGCCACTTCACAGGCAATTAGAAATTTCTCCAGAAAATGGACTGGGACTGAAAGGGGGGGAATTCAACAATCTGCCACTTTCTCGAACTTTTAGCAAAATAGGTGAAAACTATTGGTCAACTTTAGCTGTGAGGGATTTCCTGTAATTCCAGTAATTTGTCTTTCTCCTTAACACAACACCAGAAAGTCCACCGTTCAGAGGACTGAGCCAGAATCTGGGAGAAACTAAATTCTTTCTTTACTAAGTGTCTTCTGGGTGTTCTTTAGTGAATAGCCTCTCTCCTCTGCACCTTAGTGAGCCAGAGCTTGACAGAGCAGAACTCTATCCTAAAGCTATAGCTTTTTTTTATTTTTTTCCAAATAGAAAGGGAGAGGGAGAGAGAATCATTGATCAGCTGCCTCCTGCATACCCCACACTGGGGATGGAGCCCGCAACCCAAGTATGTATCCTAACAGGGAATTGAACCTTGACCTCCTGGTTCATGGGTCAACGTTCAAGCACTGAGCCACACTGGCTGGGCTAAAGCTTTGGCTAGTTTAAAAAAGAAAAGAAACACTACCCCAAATATTAACCACTTTCTTCTAAAGGAACATTTCATTTCTTTCTCCTTTCATGAAAACTTTTTCAGAATCTTGAAAGTTTTATAAACTTTCTTTTAGAAATATGTCCATGCATTCATCAAATGCTACAGCTAATGGACCTCATTGAAGGTTCCATAACAAAATATTTTTGCCACCCTGAGCCCATCAGCCGTGTTCATTTCTCTCTGCCCCCAAATGTATGTAGATGCTACATCATAGCCATTGTGTGACCACCAATTGTATTTAAAGTGTCACATGAATGATAGACATGTTTACCAAACCAGAGGACAGTAAAGTCACCATGGTAAAAACTCCACTTTCCACAAGTAAATAGTGTGCCACATTTACAGCAGATAAGCTAAAAGACTGAATTGTTAATACTGAATTTTGCCGCTAACAGATAATTTTGTATATAGCCAACAATGAATCACCATTCATACATGCAGTTCACTACCAGACAAACATGTTTATCTGCATTTGTTCTTTCTGAATTTCTCAACATCATGTGTATAATGTAACTCCTCTCAAGCCTACGGTAACCTGTCCATCAACATATGAGCCATTCCACTGTGCATCCAAATATTCAATTAACAGCCTTAATTGCTTTGAGACTATATGCTTCAGATTTCTGCTAATTACCAGCACCTTAAGACCTTCTCTTCTCAGGTCCCTGTACTATATTATCACTAAAGATGGAATTTCTATTTCTAGTTATTATAAGGTATCTGCCACCATAAAACCTAAACACACAGATCAAAGATATAGGGCAATTCTTGGATTTACAAAATAGAACAAGCACACCTCAATCTAATACCAAATAATCTAAAAATATTCATGCTCTATATTTGGACACAAGTACTCCACATATCCCTTTATATAATTTTAATGCATTTCAACCTAAGACCATATTTTATTCCTTACATTATATTATTTACTTTTAGTGTTTGCATAACTAACACTACATATCAGTAGCACAATTCATTTTTTTATTTTTATTGATTTCAGAGAGGAAGAGAGAGGGAGAGAGAGAGACAGAAACATCAATGATGAAAGAGAGAGAGTCATTGATGCCTCCTGCATGCCCCTCATTGGGATCGAGTCCACAACTCAGACATGTGCCCAAACCAGGAATTGAATTGTGACTTCCTATTTCCTGGTTTGATGCTCAACCACTGAGCCAGACTGGCGGGGCACTAGAACAATTTATTAAAACTAAGGCCTATATTGCTAATTACTATTTGATGCTAAGAGAATATAAATAGAGGCACCTAAAAGGGACAGACTACCTAGATGTCAAAGGAACAAAGAGAAGATTGGGTCCAGCACGCCATACCCACACAACCCGCTCTTGCCAATCTTTTCTCACCAGTTCCTATCTTACCAAGCTTTCTTACTGTGTTGGTGGGTTCTGGCCCTAGAACAGACATAAATAATTATTACTTTCTTATGTGTACCTCATGATCCGGGAACACCTCAAGGATAGAGCTAACATGTGCATGTCAGATGACTTCTCACCAGATTGTAAATCTCTGAACTTCAACGACAATGAATTATGTTCCTTCATAAGCCCTCAAGGAATGCACAGTTCCCTTGGGGAGGGGTGGGAAGTAAATAATTAACAATAATAAAGGCAATATGTTCAATGGAGATGCAAGTACCATTACATCTAAGGATGATGCAACTCATATGCATGGAAACAATCCAGGATGGTTTCTTGGAAAAGATATCATTCAAGGCAAACCAAAAAGGATAAATAGGATTGGGGTGGGGTGGGGGGAGTGTGCACTGAGTGAGTGGGTGGCATTCCAGGCATGAGCAATGGTGCTGAATAATGGCAGTGCTTGTTGAAGACCAATTCTCTCCTCGAGTACCTTCTGTGACCTGTCAAACCCAATCCAAATTACTCAAAAACTGTGGGCTTCAATGGGCTCATGCCTGAAGTAGGACACTTCTCTGGTTGGTTACTTTGTTAGCCTGATTTTTGTTTTGTCAGTAAGACCATAAAAATTTTCCTCATTATATACATTTTGATTTTTGATTATTTCAATCTTTTGTTTATAGGCAGAAAGCTCTGATTCTTTCTCTCTTTTTTTTTTTTTGCGTGAAAGCTGATGTCTATTATAATTACACTGCATCTTACCATCTGAGTAGAAATCTTGCACATGAATCGTT